AGCCCCAGCCAAGAGTTGCATCATGGAGGCCTCCACAGAGTGAGTAGCTGGGGGTGGGATGGGTTGGGATGTGTGAGGGCGAGGCAAGCGAGGAGAGCGTCCAGCCTAAGCCTCCTTGCCACTGTCCCCAGTTTCCTACCAGGTTTAAACTTCAGCAACTGCAGCCGACAGGCCCTGGACAAAGCCCTCCTCGATGGGATGGGCAGCTGCCTCTTTGAACGGCTGCCTAACCTGGCCCCTATGTCCCCTTTGTGTGGAAATATGTTTGTGGACCCTGGCGAGCAGTGTGACTGTGGCTTCCCAGATGTGAGCCCCTGACCCCAAGGCCTTGCCCACTCCCATCTGTGCCCTCATCCTGATTGTTCAGCCCTTTCTAAGTCTCCTGAGTGGCTTTCTGACTCAGAGACCTTCCTGTCTTCTCTGGTCCTCATTTGCTGTTGGCTTTGACCCCTGGGTTTGCTCTCTGGGAGGTTGGGAGGTCTGAGTACTGCTGCTGCTCCGTGACTCAGCTCTCTCTGCCCCCTTGCCTGCAGGAGTGCACTGACCCTTGCTGTGACCACTTCACCTGCCAGCTGAGGCCAGGAGCACAGTGTGCATCCGATGGACCCTGTTGTCAAGACTGCAAGGTGGGAGTAGACCCGAGACCAGCCACCCCAAAACTCCCCTGCCAGGTGAGCTCCTGGCTGAATTTGCCCAGTACCTACTTTGTTTACCACCCTCCACAGCTGCAGCCAGCTGACCGGCAGTGCCGCCCTCGTAGAGACGACTGTGATTTGCCTGAGTTCTGCCCAGGAGATAGTTCCCAGTGCCCCCCTGACCTCAGACTGGGGGACGGTGAGCCTTGTGCTAGTGGACAGGCTGTATGTATGCACGGGCGCTGTGCCTCCTACTCCCAGCAGTGCCAGTCGCTTTGGGGACCTGGAGCCCAGCCTGCCACACCACTTTGCCTCCAAACAGCCAATACTCGGGGTGATGCCTTTGGGAGCTGTGGGCGCAGCCCCAATGGCAGCTACGTGCCCTGCACACCTAGGTAAGTGGAGAAAACAAGCTCCCGAGTTTGTGGGAGCCTTGGTGCTGCTTCTACCAACCCTGCTTGCCTTTCTCCCTACCCCTAGAGATGCCATTTGTGGACAACTACAGTGCCAGTGGGGTAGGAGCCAGCCTCTGCTGGGCTCAGTCCAAGATCTGCTCTCAGAGGTCCTGGAAGCCAACGGGGTGCAGCTGAACTGCAGCTGGGCGCACCTGGACCTGGGCAATGATGTGGCTCAGCCCCTCCTGGCTCTACCTGGCACTGCCTGTGGCCCTGGCCTGGTGAGTGGTCTGGGTGGTTGATACCAGGTGGGAAGGGACATCTGAAATAGAGTAAGCTGTGCCCAGGCTTTGCCCCACCCGCTGGAACAGGCACAGGCTTCACAGGAGGTCGGACTGGCTTCAGCTCCGGTGGTCTTGTTTCCCACCGGCTTCTGTCTCACGTCTGGAATAGCCCCACAGCCTTGCAGGCCCAGCAGAGCCTGCAGGCCCTTGCAGAGCGATCTCTGCTCTTCTCTCTGTGGAGCAGGTGTGCATCGACCATCGGTGCCAGTCCATGAATCTCCTGGGAGCACAGGAATGTCGAAGCAAATGCCACGGCCATGGGGTGAGCTGGTGTGGAGGAGACGGAGGGGAAGGGTGCCCGCTGAGGGCAAAGGGCTACGGAAGCAGATATCCTCAGCCTTTGTGCCATTAACCTTCCTGGAGTGTTTCCTCATTGCAGTGGATGTAACAATGGCACCCCTATCTGGAGGGCATGAAATGGGTAGGAAAGGTGCTAACTAGTGCACAATATACTAAAGGTATTAGCTTGTCATTTCCCCTGGCCGGCAGACTTCCTCCCTCCAGGACTGTCTGTCTACCCACTACCCACAGCATTCCTGTCAGTTTGAGAAACCTGAGCTCTTGTGAAGCTAAAGGCTGCTGGTGCTGGCACACGCCTTTAGTCCCAGCACTTGGGAGGCTGAGGCGGGTGGATCTCTAAATTTGAGGCTAGCCTGGTCTACAGAGCGAGTTCTAGGACAGCCAGGGATACATACAGAAATCCTGTCTTGAAAAAAAAAATAAAAAGATGGAAAGTCAGAAATAGGGCAATGGTCCCATCTTCCAGATGCCTTCATTGCTTGCTTTGAACCTCTAGGTCTGTGACAGCAGCAGGAACTGCCGCTGTGAGGAGGGCTGGGCACCCCCTGACTGCAAGGCTCCGCTCAAAGGTAGCTGGGAGATGGGCCCAAGGCGGGCAGGGGGAAATGGCTCCACCTTACCTTTCTCTTTAGTTCTCTTCCAGCTCCTTGGCTCTTGGCCCCCGGAAGCCGCCTTTGTCTCTGAGTACTTCATCGACTGCCTGTCCCTGCTCCTCTCTAGCCTGTGTCACCCTCTCTTCACAGCCACCAGCGCCCTGACCACGGGCCTGCTCCTCAGCCTCCTGTTGTTGTTAGTCCTGGTCCTCCTTGGTGCCAGCTACTGGCACCGTGCCCGCCTGCGTCAGCGACTCTGCCAGCTCAAGGGATCCGGCTGCCAATATAGGTATGAACATCCTTTCCCTGCTGTTACTTCCTTCGGTTAAGGACAGTTCTGAAGCCCCTGCTTCTAATGGCCCAAGTCATGCAGTCCTTACCCCTACTTGTAAATCCCAAACTCTCAGCCCCTGGATTTCCTGACCACCATCCCTCTATGCCTACCTACCGTCTCCACATGCATCCCTTAGCTTCTCTCATAGGTAGACATCCAGGTACTAGGACCACCTCATTCCGGACCCCGAAGTAGGGGAAAGGTGGCCTTCTTTCAGGCTGCTTAACCACAGCCCTGGCCTAAACCACACAAAGTTACCCTCCAAGGGCTAAAGGGTTAACTTCTCCCTGATCAGCAGGTGGGAGGCCAGTCCCATTCTCTCTTTGGTTTTCTTTATACTTAGGGCAGCTCAGCCAAATCCTCCTGAAAGGCCAGGACCTCCACAGAGGGCACAACAGATGCCAGGCACTAAGGTAAGCCCTGGATGGCAGAGCAAAGAGTCCACATTACTTGGTACCTACTTTGGGCCTAGAGGTGGCACTAAAGGTTCAAGACTCAGAAAAGCTTTGGAGTGCCAGTCAGTCCAAGGAGCAGGCAGAGAAACAGTACAGAAAGGGCGGCCAGGCCAGCCCCCCCCCCTCCAGGAGGCTCTGCTGAGCTCATTCAGCTGGCCCAAATGGTAACTTTGAGAGGTGGTTCTGCCCATACCCATTGGCGGCCAGTGCCGTGGGATAATGGGGTGGTGTGCAAAAGGACCTTCCGTGTGCTGAGATCTGACAAGGCCCAGGACATCACGTGTAAAGGGTGCCAAGTGCCCAAGGCTGGAGCCTGAGCCCTCTCATGGCAGGAGGGTGTGCATGAAGTCAGCTTGCATGTCCCCCTCATTACATGTCACCCCCTGCATGTAGCTGAGTAACTTCCCACTGCCTCTGGGCCTTGTCTCAACACTAACCCTTTTCTGCGCACATCTGTCTGTCTCCTCCTGCCCACTCTGCCTGTCTGCTCCTCCCGCCATCTCAGCAAGCTAGTGCAATCATCTTTCCGGTGCCCCCCTCCAGGCCGCTGCCACCTAACCCTGTGCCCAAGAAACTCCAGGTAAATCAGGGCTGGGCCTTGCCCTGGCTCAGGACACACGGGAGGCGAGGTGCCCAATCCCAGTTCTCATCCCTGCTTCCCCCCAGTGGTGTTCTTCATTAGGAGACCAGGGTGCCCCCTCAGCCTTCAAAGTCCCAGAAGCAGCCAAGGGTGAGCCTCCTGACATGGTCTCTACTACCACCTGGTGGTCAATAATGGGACTACAGCTATCCAGGGACTATGATCCACACCTTCCTTCCCCCGAGGCTCCTGTCTATTGGCAAGCACCCAAGGCCCCCCGCGCATGCTCCCATGTTCCATTGAGCCCCTGGCTGACTTTGCATGTTGACCCTGGGGAGCCTCTGCATGCTCACTCCCTGGGACTGTGCTTTCAAAACCACCACTCCTCTCTTTGTTCAGGCTGAGCTGGCTGACCGATCCAATCCCCCCACTCGCCCTCTGCCTGCCGACCCTGTGGTGAGGCACCCAAAGGTAACAGTGAGCAGAAAGCAGACAGCATTGCCTCTCCTGCCTAGAGCCATGGTGGCAATTGCAAGATGGCTCCCTCTATGCCTGAGGGCATGTAACCCAATAGCACCTTTGGTAGTGACAGGCTTGTTTGGAGACAAGGTGCCCACTAGCGCTGCTCCTAGAACCCTCCACTGAGGGTGGAAATCATCATGAACTGGTCTTCTCTCTCAGTCTCAGGGGCCTACTAAACCCCCACCCCCAAGAAAGCCACTGCCTGCCAACCCACATGGCCGGCACCCATCGGGTGACCTGCCAGGCCCAGCGGATGGAAGCATGCAGTTGGTGGTGCCCTCCAGGTAGGCGAGGAGCGTGCTGCGGGAGACCGGTGTCTTACTGCCAGTGAGGTATCTGGGCAAGAGTTCTGACTTTTTACAAATGTTTTCCTTGGTTTTCTAAACTCCAGGCCAGCTCCACCACCCCCAGCTCTACCCTCACTCTACCTCTGACCTCTCTTGAGGTTTGGCTGCCTCCCACCCAGATTTAAGACTTAAAGTGAAATCTCTGCCGGACCGTCCCCCCTCCAGTCCCCCTCCAGATGCCTGGAGGAGTAGGGGCCGAGAAGATGCAGTGTCCAGCCCTAAGGAACCACCCACCATCAGGCACTGTTAACCTTGGGACCCACCAAAATAGCTGCACCTGGCTGTTGGGGAGGGGCCGGGGCTGGAGTAGGCAGCGGAGGGACGCGCACACAGTCTGTCACTGCTCCTTTGTAATAAATGTGAGATCTTGGAATGTGGCTCCTGGAAGCTGGGTAGTGGCTGCTGTGTTTCCAGGTCTGACCGCTAGGAGACGCCGCTGGGTCAGACCAGGGCCTGTTGGGGAGGATGACATCCCAGAAAGGGTCAACTAGAATTGTCACTGGGGATGCCTGTAGCTTGTTTCTGCCCAGTCTGGGATGGATGGCCTCTAGTTTCCAAGTTCTCCCTGCCGGTGCTGTTCAGCCCCCACCGCAGCTATAGACAAATGACCTAAGTCGTCAGACCTGCATCCCCACCCTCTGACCAGGGCTGGGAAAATGAATCTAACTGGTGTTCTCAGAGCCCTGAGCCTGGGCGGAGCAGGGCAGCAGCTGCTTGAATTCCGAGGCTTCACACCTGCCTCCTCCACCTCCCTACCCCCACCCGAAGGTTCTAGAACAAAGGTGCTTTGTGTTTTGTACAGATTGCTTCTACCTCATCACTGGGTCCTCAGGACTGAGGTCTTCCGGAAGAGGGAAGGTGTGTGGGGATAAGAGGTGGGCTCTGCCCCAAAGTGGTCACCCAGTGTGACACCTAAGGCTCTATAGGAGTGGGCCTGTCCCCAGAGGTACTTCCTGCCTTCCCCGTGCACCATCTGGATGCGCAGAGAAAACAGCAATTCATGGAAGGTACTTTTGCTTCAGTCTCCAAAAGACCTGGGCTTTCAGGTGCTGGCCATCGTGTGTGCCGGTGTGAACTATCTTGTGTAGTTCGAGCTGACTGGAATTCTGGATTCTTCGGAACATTCTCCCACTGCAGAGACTGCGGATGTCACTGCATACGCAGTCCAGCTCTGGCCTTCTAGCTTTCTGCCTTGAACTGATGCAAACACAAAAGACAAGATCTGGACAAAACAAAACCCACCCCTCTTAGGCGGTATGTGCGTGAGTGCGTGGCTGTAATTCCGGTACTGGGGAGGATGGGGCAGGAGAATGGCCAGTTTGAGGCCAGTCCCGGTTACAATATAAGTTAAGGGTTAGCCAGGCTTTAGGGTTAAGACCCTGTTTCAAACAAAATAAAGCACAATATGGGACTGGAAAGAGAACACAGCCTTGGTAACGTGCGTTTTGAGTTCGGATCCCCAGCACGCAGGTAAAAAGCCCCAGGTGAAGTGCTTTGCTTCCGTTCCCAACCGCGTGTGGGAGGGGTGGGGTGGAGCAAGGAAACCGGAGGATTCCACCCCCCCCCCCCACCAGCCCCAAGCTTGCAGGACTGCAAGCCTAGCCAATCAGTGAGCTCCGGGATTCAGCGAGAGACCCTGTCGCAAAAAAATAAGGTGGAGAGGGATAGAAGTGAGACCTCCGCCCCAGGACAACTCGCACAAACACGTACACATACATACAAAACCAAGACCAAAAACCGCAAAGCAAAAACTCCTTCGTGAAATAGGTCCCCTCTGCCTCCCTCTCTCAGCGCAGTGAGATACAAAGGGAAGCTTTGGCTAACCTGGAGCGCACAAGAACGCATAAAGGGTTAACACGAGTTGGCACTGGGTGGAGAGGCGGAGACGAGTTTTCATTGGTGGAAAGTTATCCAGGGATGTGGTCTAAGAGTCTCCACACCCCACCTCCTTTCCGTACCTCCCCCCCCCCCCCTCCTTCCCCGACTTTTGTACCTAGTCTCGCCGGGACAGAGAAGCGGGCCGGGACCAGCCGGGCCAGATCAGACTGGACCCCAGGGGCGATGCGGCTGCTGCCCCTGCTGCGGACTGTCCTCTGGGCCGCGCTGCTCGGCTCGCGCCTGCGGGGGTGCTCCAGCCTCCGCCACCCTGTCTACTGGAACTCCTCTAACCCCAGGTAGCCCGGCCGAACG